ATAAATTAAAAAACACTTTTATATATTTAACACCATTATAAGTTCTGCAGGCAAAGCAGGGTTTGCGGCGGAGGCTGACAGCTCACGACCCCGCTCCCTCCCGAAGTTACCCCATGATCCCCTGAGGGGTCCTGACCCCAGTTTGAGAACCCCTGGTTTATAGGCATAGCTTCACTTGCTTTTTAATGGAGGGAAGAGTGACATCTAGTGGACAATCAACCTCACTTCAAGCAGCATCCTTATACAGCAGGGGTTCTCAAACTTCATTGCATCATGACCCCCTTCTGACAACAAAAATTACTTCACAACCCCAGGAGAGGGGACCCAAGCCCCACTGCCCTGGTTGGGGAGGCCAAAGCCCAAGCCCCACTGTTCCGGGCATCAGGAGCTTCAGCCCCAGGCAGGGGGCCTGCAACCTGAGTCTTGTTGTCCAGGGCTGAAGCCCTCAGGCTTTGGCTTCGGCCCTGGGCAGTGGGCCTTGGGCTTCAGCCCCGGGGCCCCAGCAAGTCTAAGCCAGCCCTGGCGATCACATCCAAAGAGGGGCAGGACCCACTTTGGGGTCCCGCCCCACAGTTTGAGAACCACTGTTATACAGTAATTGCAAGTTACTGGGCATTAACTACGTCTTTGTTGTTTAATGGAGAGTTATTTGAGGTAGAGTTGAGGTTCCTTCTAGTCTAAATAGCTGCTTCTCTGTAATAATTTCAAAGAATAACCACAGTACACAGCACAAAGAATGCTTATCATTTGCTAGAAATATATTTGTATTCCTTCTGCTGCCTGTATTGTTTGGGGGGGTTGGGTTCCAGTGTGGTGATGAGTTATGATACGCATCAAACTTAGTATATTTTACTATTTCTGCACTGGAAGGAATTTAAAAGTCCTTTGAACAAAGAAGTGCAGAGGAGCTAAAAATGAGCAGATTGCAAAACTCTGTTGGACTGAGATTCACTTACTCTTCCCCCCACAACACTGCATTCGGCACAAGAGTTTTCTTCACAGGAAAAAGGGAGCTCTAATGTTGAAGAGGTTGGATTGTTTAGAAGTTAGAACAAACTCTCCAGAATAGGGGAAACTTGCAGTATTTGATATCTTTAGATCGCTGCTCATCAGAAAAAACACTGACCTCTGTGTAGGGCACTGAGGAGATCATTCCTGGAATATTGGGTCCAGTTCTGGTGTCTCTGCTCCAAAAAGGATGTGGAAAGATTGAAAAGCATTCAGAAAAGAGCTGCAAGAATGATTCTGGAAAGTATGCTTTGTGTTGAGAGACTGGAGAAGAGCAATAAGCCCAATCTATTGAGCAAGCGAAAGTTACAAGGTGGCTTGAATCATAATCCATAGAGACCTAAAGGGAAGGATATTTCTGATAGTAGGTGGTTCCTTTATCTGGAAGACAAAGGCATAAGATCATCCAGTGGAAGCTGAAGCTAGACAAATTCAGACTAAAAATAAGGCACCCCTTCTTAACAGTGAGGGTAATTATTCATTAGTGTTTAGGGGTATGGTGGATTCTCCATCTCTTAAAATCAAGACTGGATTTTTTTTTTTTTTTAAAGAAAAATGCTCTAGTTCAACTAAAATAAATGGGCTTGATGCATGAATCAGTGGGTGACATTCTCTGGCCTGTGCTAGACAGGCAGTTGGACGAGGTGATCAGAATGGAGTTGTGTATTAAGCTTAACTCGTAACAAACTACATCTTTGAATGTTTAATGTGTTAGCAAAGTAACGTGGGTGCCAGTGAGAGTCGTAGTCCTGAGCAGATAGGTTGGATTACTACAATAAACTCTCCATAGTTGCCCTGAGACATATGGAACCTTCAGTTAGTGTAGAAGGTGACAGCCAGCTGCCTTGCTATTGCCTCTTGCATAGCGCACACTGCACATCTGCCATAGATCGCACTGACTCGACGTTAGTCTGCTGGTGCAGTTTCATATGTTAAGGCTCAATGTGGTGTGGGTGCTGCTTATGTTAGAGGCAGCCTCTCTGCTGGTGCATCCCACCTGAGATGCTCTCCCTGACCATCCACAAAGTTCATTATCTGGGGGTTGGATGTTGAGTGGGGACGGGCTAAATTCTCTTCCCATTTTTGTCACTGCTTTTTGTTATAATCCTGGACAAGTCACTTAGGCTGAAATTTTCAGAAGTGTTGACTAATTTGGTTGTCCTCATTTGAGACTTAGGGCCTAGCTTCTGGAAGTGCTGAGCATCTACAATTCCAGTGAGCCAACTGGCTCTGCAGATACTCAGCTCTTCTGAAAATGTAGATTGTGCATCCAGAACTAGGGGATGTTAAAAGATCTTGGCCTTAATTTTTGTCTCAGTTCCCCCGTGTGTAAAATGAGGTTATGTAGTTCAAAGAGAGGGTAATAATAATAAATGGAGATATCCCATCTCCTAGAACTGGAAGGGTCCTTGAAAGGTCATCGAGTCCAGCCTCCACTAGCAGGACCAAGTACTGATTTTGCCCCAGATCCCTCAGTGGCCCCCTCAAGGATTGAACTCACAACCCTGGGTTTAGCAGGCCAATGCTCAAACCACTGAGCGATCCCTCTCTCTCTCCCTCCCAGGATAGTGAGGATTAATTAATGTTCATAAAGTGCTTTGAGATATCTAATGAAAACATGCCATAGAAATACAAGTCTGATCCTCTTTGAATTAGGACAGAGATGTGCATGTACAGAATTAATGAAACCCAGTCTTACTTTGTGCTTTGTTTTCTTTCTTTTCCAGAGCAGGATGTTCCTGGTCGGACTGTCAGGTGGAATTGCTTCAGGAAAAAGCACAGTAGTGGCAGTATTCCGGGAACTGGGCTGTGCAGTGATTGATGCCGATGTTATTGCCAGACAGGGTTAGTTTTGCGTAGTTGATCTTTTCTTGTATTTCCCCTGACAATCTGGAGTCAATCGCTGATGCTGCTTTGGAATTTAGACAGCAGAGGGTGCTCTGTGTTCAGTCAAGAACTGTTACCTTTTGCTTCCCCAATTTAAGACTAGATGTGTGGACTGGCTGTCTCGGGGATTGGAAACAGGATACATTTTTCATCAAAAGTCACATCTTAATGACACACACTGCAAAGAGATTTCATGCTGGGTGTTGTACTCCTAGAACATAGTGCAGTGACCACTGCTTTATAGAGACACTCCGTAGAGGTCCGGACACACCCCTGCGGCACCTCCTGCTGGTCGTCCAGGGAATTAGCTCACCAGCCTCTGGACTGCCCTCTGCAGGCCAGTGATCCGACTCGTTCTCTCCTTCTCAGCTCCTGTGTCCCTCCCAGGACCCTGGTGCCCCTTGCTCTGGGTGCTGCCCCTGGCAGTACCCACACACTAGGTCTCCCCTCCCTGGGGAACCCCCACCCACTAACCCCACCTCATGATAAGGCCACTGCCAGTCACCAACTAGCCCCCACTCTCTGGGGCAGACTGCAGTATAGGCCACTCATCATCGGCAAGGTTGGGTTTGGACCTGCTGCCTTGGCCTAGCCCTGGGCTGCCCTCTGCATCCCCCAGTACCCCTTGGCCTTCACTTAAGCCGCAGCCTGGGCTTTTCCAGGCTGGAGCTCCCCAGCTCCTCAGCCTTTCCCCAGCCCTGCTCCACTACAGACACCCTGTCTAACTCCCTGCAGCCAGGCTCTTCTCTCTCTGAAGGCAGAGAGAGACTCTGAGTGCCTGGCTCCCAGCCTCTTATATAGGGCCTGATTGGGGTGTGGCCCAGCTGTGGCTACTTCCCAAATCAACCCAGTAGCTTTTCCCTTTGCCCCAGCTCTCTGCTAGGGCTCTTTTAAACCCCTCAGGCAGGAGCGGGGTAAGCACCCCGCTACACACTCCTTTACAGACAGTTGAACAAAGTTCTCTTTGTAAATCTGTGACTCTCCCTCCCTCCAGCCACCACCAAATTTACCATGACCCAACTCTGTATCTGTCAGGGGCTGCTGGTGGCGCTTCAGTGACTGGTGAATGTTACCAATACTCTCAGAAGAGAATTTCAGCCTTCATTCATATATGTTTGGTGGGTGCTTTTTTGTTAAGATCCCGAATAGTTCGACCCCCCAAAATGTAATTCTCACCTTAAAAATGCACCCTAATAAGAGACCAGAATCAGCCTCCAGTGAAGGCTGTAGTTCTACTCAAACCACAGTTTTATTTTGTGCTGCACCAAAATGTACATGCCTGGGAATCTGTAACACTTTCCGGGTGTTTCTGCTGTTGATATGGAAACAACCCACAAAACAAGGCCAGTGCATCAGAGCTGGGAACTAGGATTCAGGGGATCTGATGGCCTGGGTGAAACCCTTTTTTCCATTCCCTCTGTAAAATGGGGATAATAGGACTTACCTCATCAGGTCACATGGGGTTTAATTTTTGTACATCCCTTTTTAGGCCTGCCGATGGCTAGCACGGCAGATGTACAAAGGATTATTAATTAGAAATCAATGTCGCTTGGGTGGTTTCCTTTTTAAGTACCTCAATTTTTCTGGTCATTGAAGAACTTATTCAGTAGCCATCTTAAAGCTGCGCTATTTTGACGTTTTGTTGCAATGTAGTGCCTCTCGAGGGGCAGAGAGCCTGCTAGAGCTGCTATCAGTCCTCTGACAGGCCAGGATACTACTTCGAACCACTGTACATGTTCAATGCCAATTTTCCACCAAGCAATTTATTTTTCTTCAATTGCTTTTTTTGTTGTTCTATTTACTACTTGGATTTCCTTTTTAAGTGAAACTCCCTGAATTAGAAATTACAATTCCCCAAGTAAGAAATTCATTTTAGTAAAAATGTCTTTCTTTCTAACGTGCTCTAAGCCTCAATCAAGTGGAAAGGTCTGCATCATTAGAGGAAAATAGAATATACACTGACTTTTTTTTTTCACTTCAGTTTATCCCCAGCCTTCTCCCAATTACTTTTTTTTATTATTATATCCTCTGGGTGGCAATTTCGATGACTTTTTAAAATGACATACTTTCCTTACATCACACTAGTCTATAATAAGCTGCAAACAGCTCTTGAGAATTGGCCTCCTACAGGCTTTCATGTGCAATTCATCATAAAGAATCTCACGTTGTATTTTATAGAAGCCCTTATGGCTTGATTCTGATGACATTGGAAACCTTAAGCCTATTAATATTCAGCCCTTTTTGATATTTAGTAACCCACTACTCCCTTGTGGGAGCCCAGCTACGCTGTTCATCCAGCGCAGGAGTTTTCAGTTAAAACAAGATGAATCTCCCCACTCAACGCCTGATTGGAAATGAACAAAATCTATGGCCATCGCACGTCCTGTCTTAAGGCAGCAGTGCGCAAACTTTTCCAGTCGCGCGCGCCCTCCCCCACCCCCTCAGCAGCAGGCAGCTTCTATCTTGCAGCCAGGCTGCACCACTGGGGCAGGGCCAATACATGCCCCTCTGCCCCTCCTCCCTCAGGTTTTCAGGGTGGGGGAAGGCACATGCAGGCGTCTCTGGGGTGGAATCCGCGCTGGGCATGGAGGCAGAAATCGGTGTGGTAGCGCACTGACCTACAGGCTGGGTGGCCTGCTGAGGTGAGTCAGGGAGGAGGTGGCGCTTCCTCCCTGCCCCCCATGGGGGCTGGCCTGAGCCATCTGGCATTGCCCCCCCCCCCCCAGTGTTCTTCCATGCCCCTCTAGGGGCATGTGTGTAGAAAGCTCCACCATCTTAAGGCATGCGTGTAGAAAGGTCCTTCAAAATGTAAACTGTGGCCCTTGATAACTATACATTATAAACTTTTTATTACAACTATGCTCACTGCAGTGTTTTCCCTTTTGAAAAGAAACAAACAGAAATAACATTTATTATTACTGAGCATTCCAAACACGGCCTCTGCCCTTAGAACCTTCCAATCGAGAATCCTCTGAGACCTACTTGTTGGAGAAAGGAGTGAGGAATCAGGATGATTCTGCATGTTTTTTCCCAACTCTGCTACTGACTTGCTGTGTAACCTGGGGCAAGTCCTTTCTCCCACTTTACTGATCTATAAAATTGGGGTAATGCTTCCTCTTAGGAGAATGATGAGGCTAATTAATGTTTGCAAAGTAATTTGATCTCTTGGGTACCTGGCACTGAAGAAATGTAAGTGTTATTGGAACAAAAGTTTAGCAAATGTGTTTCTGCAGCACGAGATTCAAAGTTGGTTCTCATGTAGCTTTTAGACCCCTAGGATGAGATGTTCCACAGCCTTGCTTCAGCATATGCCGGTCAACAGATGTGTTCTCCCTTGAAAGGAATAGACCTCAGTCGTTCAATAAATAAGATTCATTTTAGACCCTTCACTGATGTAAGCACTTCCTGTTATGCAGAATTGGCACTAACCTCCAGCTGTTTATTTTTATCAGTGGTTCAGCCCCGCTTCTTAGCCTATCAGCAGATAGTGCATAACTTTGGAAGTGAAATCCTCTTGGAGAGTGGAGAGATAAACCGGGAGGCTCTGGGAAACATTATCTTCTCCCACCCGGAAAAACGGCAGCTGCTGAACGCCATCACTCATCCTAAGATCCAGAAAGAGATGCTGAAACAGATCTTTAAATACTTTGTGCTAGGTAAGAAACTAAGCAATTGTTATGGACTCCTAGGACATCAGGGTTTCTGGTCACACTGGTGACCAGCAATCTGTGTTTGGTTGTTTTTTCCTTTAGCAGGGAAAGGGACTAGAGGAGAAAGGGAGCTAAAATGTTGAGTGACTGCCTTTGTGCTGTGTCACTAGTGGCCTTTAGCGCTGTGGCATCCTTCCATTGTTCCTGTTCAGAGAATCCTGCCTTTTAGTTTTGCCCTTCACATTTTCTCCCGTATATGGTTTAAAGTACATCTGTAGGGTCTGAAGGAAGCATTGTATGGCTTCTTCAGAGATTCCTCCTGAGATAATGTCACCCCTTCTGAAATGTTCTAATATTATTCCCCTCCACCCCCTGCTTCACTAAAAGCCATAAAGCTCTCTTAAACTCGATAAGGTGAAAAATGGGTTGACAGCTGTGGTTTCCGGAGTTCTGCTTTTCCTTCTGATAAATATAACAAATACAGCTGTCAGACTTGGTCTAGTCAAATGCCAGATAAGATCACCAGCTGTTTCGGAGGTCTCCGTGTAGACAGAGGGATGTCTTAATAGAGTCAGCCTAGTTTGCAGAGCTTATCAAGGGTGAGCTATGTGACAGCTGAATAGCCTTTTGCTAGGGAGCTGAAGAAGCCAAGCTCTCCTGAGAGAGATGCAGGGGGAGAAAGTAAGCCAATGAAGGAAGGTGACAAGAAAGGAAACTGGAGAAATAGACAAAGGAAATAAAAGAGGAGCATCTAAATGAGCTCATGAGGCCGTTGGGGGGGAGCCTTACCCACTGCTCCAGCTATCATTTTGCAAATGATTTTGTCTTAATTAGTTAGCAGTAACTGACTCGGGATATTTGTTTTTGGTGTCTTAGGCCAAAGGGCTTTAGCTAAGGTTTTGGGTTTGTGCACATATGGAATCACTTCCTTGCCCCCAGGTTCCACTGGTCTGAAACCCAGTCCTGTAGCAGCTGACGAGTTTAAAGCTTTATAAGTTGCAGTCTTGCAGAGCTGGAAAAAGGAGCATTTACACCGTTGGAGAGGGTTTCCCAAGGGAATACACAGGCCTCACTTCTGCCCTTCAAGAGACCAGAGTTTAAAGCCATGACTTTTCTATGCAAAACAAAAAGCTATTTTAGATAATTTTTAGACTAATTTTCTATCGCTTGCTTGCTCCCACACTCCCCCCCCCCCCCCCCTCCCAGTAACAAAACCACCTTGCTCTATAGGTAGAGGGGATATAAAACCGCATCTAGGTGGAGAAATACATAAAATAGATTTCTCCACTTAGATGCTATTTTATAACAAAAATTACCAAACATCTTCTTGAGGTTTTCTGTACCATGCAGTAGCATCTACAGATGAGCGAGCCTGTTATGGCATGAAGGGTTTATAGACGCTCACATGGAATGATACACACGACCCATACAGGGCTAATAACCCTTTCGTCCACCCCACACTTCTCTCTCTTTTTAAGACCACTGGTGTATGGGTTTTTTTTTTATTTTTATTAAATGTTTCCTCCTGTAAAGCCAGGTGGCTTAGTACCATGGGGCCCACTGTACAGGCCTTAGAAGGAGAAAAATTTATAACTCACTGTGATGGGAACTGGCACCGTGGGGTTAAGGACGTTCCTGTGGACCCAGGTGACCCTGCAGCCAACATCCGGGATTGGAGAGAGGCGTTAACAGGCCCAGTTGAGGGTGGCCAGGAAGGAGAGCAGAGCTCTGCTATTTCTTCACTCACAGAAGCCTGGTTTCAGCCCATAGCCTGAGGCAGCTTGCTACCTGAATGAGCCATTTGATGGGTGGGACGACTGGACCCAGGAAGACTGGCAAAAGGGACTAGCCACGTAGAGACAAGGCCAGAGCAGAAGGGTCCTCCGATGAATCTGCAGTCCATCTGTTTTCCTTTTTGTTTGCACTCTACCCCACGTGGGGTATTAGACTCCTGTGTGCCATAGACAGAGGGCTAAGGCACCGTGGTACTGGATCTGTGAGGGGTGACAGCTGATCACAGGGGACCTGCGGCAGGTTGAGTCGTGTTTAATAGGCCACAAGGGGGCACTGGCTAGACAACCAGGTGGCAACACTCATTAATTTGAGAAGCATCTAAAACTGTTCTAAAATAGCTGTTCTGTAAGTTAAAGTTGCAAGACAGCAGACCTTAGTGCAGCAACCAGGCCTGGCTAGAAATCCTGCCTCTTGGCAGGGGATTAGACTAGATCAGTGGTCTTCAACCTCTTTAAGCACAAGATCACTTCTTGAATTTAAGATCAACCCAGGATCTACCCCGCCCATTCCCTGCAGTCCCACTCTGCTCACTCCATTCCCCCCACCCTCACTCACTTTCACCGGGCAGGGGATTGGGGTGTGGGAGGGGGTGCAGGCTCTGGGCTGTGGCTGAGGGGTTCAGAGTGTGGGAGGGGGCTCTGGGCTGAGCCTGGGGCAGGGGATTGGGGTGCAGGAATGAGGGGTGCAAGCTCTGGGAGGGAGTTTGGGTGCACAAGGGGGCTCCAGGCTGGTGCAGAGAATTGGGATGCAGGAGGGAGTGAGGGGTGCAGGCTCTGGGAGGGAGTTTGGGTGCACAAGGGGGCTCCAGGCTGGTGCAGAGAATTGGGATGCAGGAGGGGGTGAGGGGTGCAGGCTCTGGAAGGGAGTTTGGGTGCAAGGTGCAGGGTCTGGCCGGGAGGCGCTTACCACTGGCGGCTCTCGGTTGGCGGAGCAGCTGGGCTCAGGCAGGCTGCCTGCCTGAGCCCCCCTGCGCCGCTGACTGGAGATCACGATTGACTGGCAGAGGCACCAGGATTGACCAGTTGATCACGATCGACTGGTTGGTGACCACTGGCCTAGATGATCCTTGCAGTCCCTTCTAACCCTGGGGTTCTAGAAGTCCCGTCTCCCACTGGGCAAAGGGGATTCCCTGCTCGTCAAGGGGTCAAGTTCTCAGCTGCTGATTCCAGAGGACCTTAAACCTGTCACTAGGCTGGGATTGAGTATAGCCCCTGCTGCTCCTCAGACCAGTGTATTTTTCAGGGTTGCGGGGTAATGGTGGGGGGCATCTGGAGGGAAATAGGGAAACACTTTTGTGGCAGGTTGTTTCTTCTAAGCAATAGAAAAGGTGACTCTTGGAAGCTGCTCTGAGGTTCGGAGACAGGTGAGTGGCAGAGTACAGGAGAAGTGTTCTAAGGCATAAAATAAATACAGTTGGTCATGTGGAAATTGCCACCATAAGTTTGTCTCTATTTAAGGTGGAACTGGCAGGGATACGTATTAGAATGGGACATGTTAACTGACCATAACAAGTCTATGGTTGGTTGCTTATAACTTTGCCAACTTTAATCGTTTGGGATGCAGTTTTCCATGCTGATTTCTGACTCAGGCTGGAATTTATTTTTAAAGTTTCAGCAAAAATGGTTCAGAACTTCCAACAGTAAGGTTAAGGAAAAATACACCGTGGTACTCGTGTTAAATTCTTACAAATGCTTTAAGGAGCTCCAGCACCCTCCATGTTTTGAAGCAGAGACTTTAAATTTGGCAGGGGTCAGAGAGGTGCCTTTTGTTATCTATGAAAATCCGTCCAAGTTTGGCTGAGTTATAAACCTCTGAAAATGGCCAGTTGCAGATTCTCAGCAGAGCTTTGTTAGAGGCTGGCAGCAAAATTCTCTAAACATTCCCTCCTTACTGAGCGTACACCGTCCCCACAGAGTTCACTGAGCATGCTCCAGCCGGTGACTGAGCTAGATTTGTCGTGAACGTGCTCTTTCCAGATGCTGGGGGTCACTGTGGTGCTGGGCACCAGAACTGAGAGCGAGGAGACACGCTCTCTCCCCTGTGCTTTCATTCCCTCCCTGCTGGCATCCAGGCAACCTGGAGGAGAAAGACAAAGCCACTGATTTGAATGCGGGTCAAGGGCAAGGCGGGGGCATGGGCAGGCTAGGGAGGGAATCACAGGAGGAGGGACAGGCTTGGGGAGGGGGCAGAGGGAGAATGGGTTGGCTGTGGTGGGGACAGACCGACAGAGGCAGGGAGGACGGAGGCACAAGAGGAATAATGCACAGCTAATCTTAAATTCTGCTATTTCTTAACTTTTAAGGACTTGACTTTGCAACATTAATATTTGTCTGTATGTAACTTTCTAAGTTTTAAAAAAACCCTCTGAAATATCATGTGCATTATCAGCAGGGTTGGAACCTTCAGATCCTTAGCATAGGCCTCTGTCCCTTCAGTTAATGTCACTGGTAGCAGTAGTAAGTTGGTATCCTCCACGTGAACCAGCCATTAGAGGGGGATGAGCGAGACAGTCTGCTGGTGGGTTTCACAGCTATTGGCTGACAGCAAAGGAATGCTGGGACTGAGACATCCTGGGTTCAGTTTCAGCTTGTAACAGGCCGTGTCCCTGTCATTGCTCCTATCAGCCCCACCTTGTAGCAGGCCCCTTTCCATTCCAGCTTGTCCATGTGCTCTTCCTCCCCACTCTTCACCCCACTGCTTTAAACCAAGTTAGGATATTTCTTCCTTCTCCTCCATGCTGCCTTGGTGCCAATGTAACCCACACACCTCCTGGGGGTGGGGCACCGAGACCACGTAGAGAGAGATGGAGTCTGCCCAGCAGCCTTAGTGAGCTTGGCTTTTAGCTCGTGCTGTAGAGCCTCATGCACTAAGCTCCACAGGTCCCTGGTTCGATCCCGCCCGCCGATGACCAGGGTCTGTCGGTGTTACACCAGCAGGGGGTACTGAGAGACTGGGTCTGTCTAAATGGCAGCTGGCAGGGTGCAGCTCTTCCCTGCAGAGGTGGACAGATGTGCTAACTCCGCT